CCACCAAGGGCCGACCAAAAGGCCCACCAAAGGCCCACCAAAGGCCCGGCCTGCTCTCTGAGGTCGTCCGAGAGGTAAAAAGATGAGGGAGAGGGCACGGAGGCGGCGCCACTCACCGTTATGCATCCCCGGACTTCCTCTTCTGAGTCCCACCTTCCGGCCACGCCGCCGCCGGCCGAATCGCCTGCACAACATGACAAGAGCGCAGCGTCAGGATGGGGGCAGGGTGAAAGCGGAGTCGAGCGTTTGCAGTTGTTCTGAAGGGAAGGGAAGGGAAGACGCGTGCGCGCGGGGCTGCGTTTGTCTTTTGTACGTCGGCGTGTGCGCTCTGAGGTGAGTAATGCCGTGTAGTAGCTCCAATTATGGCTCTTAATCTCTGAGCAAATAATGGCTGGAAAATGGAGCAAAGCAACCCCAGAGAAGCACCTGTCTGGAGAAGCGTGCCAGGTGCAAACATTGTAATGGAGGGAAGAGTGGTAAATCAGGCTTCCAGCAAACTCTCATCTGGTTTATTATTCCATGAACGCATGGATGCTTTAATACCAAATGGACAACCATCCTATGCACACTACTTTTTAATTAGAAAGCACTTCCTCTCAGTGAGAAGTAACCCATGTCGGCTGGTGTTGGTGGTGTTTTTTTCCACGTCTCTGCAGTTCTTTGCTAAACAATGTAGAAAACACTACCCTGAATGATCTAAAAACGCACCGTTATTTTGAAATCTGAAGGGCCGGGGCTCCTTGAACGGCACAAACAGGCACGAGCGGGCATCATTCAGGTCAAAAAGGCAGCTAATTTTACCCTGAACTGTATCAAACCTTTTCAGGGAAAATCCCGAACTACCAGTTGGATCAAGGGAAAGTCATTGAAATGGGAACCTGGGGATGGGGCATATCAGAGAAGACCAGAATCATTTCAGAAACCAATTTCCACGAACAGATTTGCAACATCTCGTCCGGTTCCGAAATCATCCACACAGAAATTTGCACCAGCGACGGGATGTTGTCTGTGATGCCCAGTTGCTGGATGTGTTCAGTACCAGGGAAGAGCACAAGGAACCCCAGAGCCCCTAAGCCCTCGATATGGATGGATTTACATCTCACACTGCATCCCTGCTGTGTTACAAAAGGAGGTTGTTCAGGTGGAAATGAAGGATCTACCTGTGTCTGTACGCCTCTAGTGTTAAATGAGTGACACGTGCTTTGCTTCAAGTCGCGCCTCCAAACGTCTGTGGCGTTTTTATCGGACTACAAACAACAGGCGCTGGGCCGTTCGGGCCCTTTTGCCCCACCTTCTCGGCTTCTTATCCGTTGTTACGAGCGCTCCGCTCGGTTTAAAGTGTCTCGGGCTATCTCGGACGGACTTTCCCAGTTAATGATCCACCCTAGCGGTTTGATCTTTATTAATATGGCACATCCTGACGTCCCCATAAACCTTTTCTTCTGAGTCGCCACACCTTCGGGGGGGTGGGGGGTGGCAGCGGTTGAGAGCCTGCAGCGGCATGCCAGGGAGCAGATGAGAGTCTGTATCCCGGATCATTAAAAGAAAAAGGCGCTTACCGCCATCAAGGCCGAGCGTGTGTGTGTGTCTGTGTGTCTGTGTGTGTGTGGGGGGGGGTTCCCGATTTGCGCTTTCTTAACAAACACAAACTCGGACACACCTGTCTGACTGCTGTTACTTGAGTGACGGTTTCTCCGCTTATCAAATGATCTCTTTCAAACTGTCAGAAAGTTTGGTCGGAGGGGGAGCGTGTTGCCGATAGAAAGAGCTGGTCTGAATAAACAGGTTTTCATAGTTAAAGTGGCTGGAAATCCTCTCTCAGCTCAGGTTCCAATAACAAGTCACTTGTATCAAGTGTTTCAGGATGTTTTCAAAGGATTATATCTAATCCTAGCGTTACATTTGTTTCCTTAAAAAATCCCACAAATCCCCATCGACCCATAATATTAAAAAGACATCTTGAGAACAGCTCTGTATCTTTCTCTTTTTGATAATGAGGGAAGTAAGGGAATGACATCACAGAACTGCAGTTTTTCACCGATTTGACTGATTTGACCAGGACTTTAAAGAAGATTCTCTGATTCCCTTTTGCACTGCCTGACCTGGATCACTGTAGTTCATCATCTCATCAGGCCAGTCCTGCGTCGGGGAGAAGGCCTCCTCCACGCCAAAAGGGCTCAGCAGGGTCTCAGGCATCTGGCGGTCCAGGAGGAGCAGCTGCACCCGGGACAGGGAGCCCAGATTTCCAGACTCACAACCCACCGTAAGTGCTGCAAGGCCCGGAGATAAATCTGTGTCAGGACAAGACACAAATGTCAGGAGAAAATCATTTTTTTAACTCAATCTCGAACAACAACGGGCAAATGAAGGACGCCACCACAAATTAAAATGCTGTCCGATCTATCAAGCTCTTCTGGCATTTTTGTTCCCAGTTAAGTGAAAAAGAATATGATTTTTTTTAAATCATTAAATGGGACATTTCCTTTTTCTTCATGATCATAGACACACAAAAAATAATTTTCTTTCTAAAAGTTATCAGCAAAATCATTATGGAAACCAGTATGCTGGTCTGACTCTGATTTAGTAGAGATGGAAGCACCTTAATCACAGTATTACACTACAAAGTAACTCTCACAGCTCCTGGCGTCCTTACACATCTGATTTATGGATTATTTCTTTATCTCTGTTTTTCACTGGTCCACTTTGGCCCATCATCTATGAATAATGACACTTTTTTGGGTTGTTTTCTGTCATATAATCCAGCATCAGACTGTATGTATGGCAGAATGCTTTTGGGACCAGTTCCAAACCTGTAAATTGGCACACAGTAGGGTTAACTGTGTTTCAACAATGCTTTTTAACGTTTTAGAAAACTGCTCTCCATGTACAAATAGCTTTACCTTTAAATTTGTATTGGCCAAACCAAAAAAACTACTTTGCTGCTCTTGCTCTGGCCTCATTGGAAATAATTTATATTGAATGATGAAATGGACTGACTTTTAGAATAGTGAGTACCACGTTGCAAAATGTTTGGACTTGAAATGTGGTCCTTAAAGGCATTTTGAAATGGAAAAACAACAGAAAATGTGAGAACTAAAAGACCTTTTAAAATAGTCTGAATGGCTTGTCGAACTGGATATTTAAGTTACTGTCATGCTCACCGAAGAAACCTTAAAACCTCAATTGCAGAAAGACCCCTCCCCCACAACCTTGCACCTCACACACACACACACACACACACACACACACGCACACACACGCCCAGAAACACACTGTGATGCCCCCCTCTCCCTCGGGCTCCAAAGTTCTCATCGTCACACCCAATTAAAAGTGGATCAGTGACACTGTGGCCTCATGCCCATGCAAATCCCCGGCCCACGCTGGCCGGGTGTGGAGCTGCCTTTCCAAATCTGAGGGGGGGATTTCACAGAACATGCTCCGCTGCGAGCACCCCTGCTGCACGCGTACGCGCACACGCTTTCCGGCGAAACGTGAGAAAAAGGCCTCCACACCAAAAGAAAGTGTTCGGTTAGTCTTGGGCCGCATCCTTTAACGTGCGCAATCCGCTCCCACTTCTTTGTTAAGTGTTTTCAGTTGGGAAGTCAAGCCGGTAAAATGATCCCTCAGGTGAGAGGAAAAGGAACTGTTGCCACTCCTGATAAATTAAGCCGTCGTTGAGAGGAAATCCCGGGGATAACCGTGGTGGTAACATAATGTGACGGGACACACTTTCTGTTAGGCCGGGTATTAGTTCGTCGTTAGCTAGAAGTAGCGGCCAGATTGAAAAACACTCACAAGTGACTAATCCTGTGTGTAGTCCTTCGAGTGGGGGACTCACTGGCTGCCACCCACTCAGGCTCACAGGGATGCTTCAGATCCGAACGCCTCATGGTCTCCTCTCAGCAACGAGGCCGGAATTTAACGCGAGACCAGTCGGAAACCTCGAATGAGTTTCACGGCTTTGGAAAAGTTGCATGCCATCTTTTTAATGACATATCCCGTCACTGATGTTAATCGCTGGACAGCTCTCAAAACATAAAAATCGCGTAAATCCTAATATTTCTGAGTACCAGAACCTAAATTATTTGCCTCCGACCTCTCCCGGGATGATGAATTCACCACAGTTCTAAATCGTTTATGCGACAATTTTAAATCAATATCTTTTTCCTTTCACCCTTTTGAATATATAAAGTAATCTGTCAAAATTCTGCGTGTCTCCGATTTCACTGACACCTTTTTTGATGCCAGAGTTTTATCTGACAACCGCGCTTGGCAAAAACTATGGAACCAAAGTCAGTGCTTTGGTTCAGATCAGGAGCAGCCGGGCATTTATGGCACGTGTTGAACCGGTTCCAGATTCTGCAATTTGCGTCACACAAGTTTCCCGTTCACGCCGACATGCACCGCTGCTTAATGTTTTGTCTGTGATCTCTGTGTGCAGCATGCATGTCTCTATTATCAGACGTACTGGGGGAAATGTGAACTACAGACTCCAGCTCACTAATCATAGCTACCCGCCCTTTTAGGACAAAAGCCACCAGGGGGAAGCTTCATCGTGCAACATGGGAGCACATACGTGCCTTTATCTACTGTTTTTGTTTGTTTTTTTGACCCTGCATTACCTCAACAAACTCTTTAATCTTGCACAGACTCACATTAGGCTCTTAATTATTTCATGGAGGCATTTATTCCTGTTAAACGAGAGTGATTCAGAGCTTCTCGAGGAGACCAAGAGACTAGTGGGTTCACCTACGCTACGATCTTTTGTCGTGTGATCTTGTGTCAAATTGTATAAAATACATTTTCTACGAATGAACTCGAACATATTTCCCAACTTACGCAATTACCACGTGACTTGCTTCTTTGACCATGACCCACAGCCCGAGAAATATTTCTATCTTTCAAGCTTTCATTCAATTTGATGCCTCAATCTCTTTCGTGTCTTTGTTTTGGCATCTAGGACCGTTTTTTTGGAAAGATGAAAGGCAGGAATAAGGAGTAATGAAATGAAATGGCCCCAAGCAAGGACAGCAGAGCATTTGGGATGTAAGTTTGTGTTGCAGGACACCTTAAAACTAAATAAATATATTTTATCTGGGTAGTTAGAGGCCAGTTCCATGAATAAGTTTATTTCACAGCTCGTTCTTTAAAATCGAATAAGCTTCAAATATGCCACATCCTTTACAAATGTAAATTGGGCCTCCCATCAGTCTGATAAAATCAGTGTGGGGCATTAGCTCACGTTTGGCAGAGCTGCTAGCTAACACCCAGAGTTAGATTTTATCACCCCGGTTGCTGTGGCAGCGGCCAGCCTGATCCTTCCACATCCTCAGGGCAAAGGTCCCCGGGGTCAGACGGAGGTTCGGGTCAAGCGAGCAGGTTAAACACCTTGTCGGGGATTAGTCGGCTACGAGGGAGGCGAAGGAAGTTTTCATTTGGTTATTATCTCTCTTTGCAGCACTCCTCTCCTCCAGAACGGGCGCACGCAACCCAATACGAGCACCGATATGCACGCGTCCCGTTAATGGAGCTTCTGTCGGCCTGACACAATGACCTGACAGAGCGAGAAAGTCGATGTTCTGACTAGTCCCTGAGGAAGAAAACAGACTCATTCAGACATTACTTAGAGTTGAAAATTACAATTAAACAGATTGTGAACACTCATTTACATGATGGAGAGTAAATGAGCAACACCATATAGTGATAATGCCACACCCCTCAGAATCTGCTGCCTTTCCCTGTTCTATGATTTGGATAATGAAATAATGATGGGCGTTGGTGTCGCCATAATACTGGGAAATGTGAAGAATGGATGATTTACACTAATTAAAGAGATACATAACAAAATCATCGTCCGCAGCCATAGCAATGCTTTAAGCTCCAAACAAACACACGGATGTTCAGCAAGAGCTACTGACCATGTTCAATCCGTTGATGGAGTGTAAAGCCAATTATGTAAACGGATTTAGTTCATAGGCCACTCAGTTATAAAGTGAATTGAGAGATGGACATTTTTGACCGGATGCAAGTCACAAAAATCAGTGAATTAAAATGAGAGGGTGGATATTGATTTAAAGTTGTTCTGATTTGATTTAAATAGAGAAGATTTAAATCAGTTATCAGCGGGCCAATTCTTTACAGCAATGGCTACACCAAAATGAATGTCCAGCTTTCACAGTGTTTTACGACAAATTGAATATTTGTCTTATGATGGCAGAAAGTGAGTAATTTAGGAGGACATATAATGTTGAGACGATTAGGAGACATTACAAACAAATTAAAGATCCTGTTTTGTGCATGCACAGGTTTAAGTTTGCGTTCCCAGCAGCAAGTTGTTGCTGCAACTTCGCTCTTCTTGAGGGATGAAACTCTTTCCATCCATTCTCCATTTATCCGAGATTGGAGTTGAAAATACGATAGATTGATTGATTGATGTAAGATTGACACAAATTATTTCAGTCTGAATAAAGTGAGGTCCCCCAAAAAAACACAAAACCCACATAGTAGTTAAATAGAAATAATTGTTGTATGCAGCTATTAGTGTGTGTGACTGTTACCTGTAGCAGGTGAGGGCGAGGCTGATGAGTCTGAGGGCTGGTCCAGAGACGAACAGGAGGCCGAAAGAGGGGCGATGGCCTCCAGTTCGTCAAACATGCGAGACTGACTGCAGCTGAGTTCAGAACCGCGTGATGCTGCTGAGCGTCCTGCAAGAGCGGGAAGTATTTTATGATCAGAACCCTGGTGCGGAGGAAGAGGATGAAGATCTTTAAGGCCAAAAATGTTAAAAAATGTCAATTCTAAAATATATGAGAGGGACGTTTTATAAGTGAAGCTGATTAAAGATGATTAGATATGACATTTCCTTTAAAATCTGTGTATTGTTTTTTGAAGTGAGATCTTTTCCAATCAGCAAGAACACATTAAAAAGTCATTAATGTCTATTAGCTAAACACTTAACACCCAACTACAACCTGAAGCAAATTGACTAACTTAGCTGGCACAGTAATCTTTCTTTTTTCAAAAAAATATGTTACATTTTTACCGAAAATGACAAAAAATCTTTGGTTTGTTTGATTTTTTCACGGAAACAATAGTCAAAGCTTTTGCATTTATTTACGGCATGGAAACATCTGGATAACAATGGCAGTATAAAAAAAACATTTGGCCACTGTCTTCTAAAGTAGTTTACTAATTAGAATAATCCAGATATTTATAAGAAATGACAAGGAAGAAACATGAAGAAAAAAGTCAAACTTTTCTTAAAGTCTTATGGAAGCTGGATTATGTACTGGTCTTAGTCTAAACCCGTCCCCTCTGGGCAGCACACCCTGAGGAGTAAACAACATACTTCAGTAGGTGATTCCCCACACATTCAGTGATAGTGTGTAGACAGGGGAAAAGTAATCTGACTTAACCCTCAATACACAAGGTAAAAAAAAAAGAAAAGAAGAAAGCCCTGCCCTTAAGGTGCTCCTTCCTTCAGAGTCACTCAGGAAAAACAGTCAAATCTGTCAGGCTAATTACTCATCTCACCTCGGGGGCGACAAAACAAAACTGTCTCCCTCTGCCCCGGTTATAAAGAATCCCAAGATTAGAGAGTGAAACAGTTTGACTGTTTAGCGGCCACCCTGAAAGAGGCTCGTCGGGAGCTTTTTCTCACATTAGAAATGCAGAGCGGCTTGGCCCCGGACAAAAGGATAACATATACAGAGGCGCTAAAAGGAAAAAGGCAAACTCAGCTCCTTTCGCGTCTGCCCACACGGACGAGTCTGAATGTCCAAAAAGGAGCTGCCCTCGCTGGGTTGGAGTGTGCGAACAACAACGCGCACGCACCGCTGCACTATTGTGCACTTGAGCGGCTCGCCAGCTCTCCTCGCCGGAGACAATGGCGGGACTTGACTTGACACTTCAAAGCGTCTTGGCCCTGTCAGCCAAGGCCGCACCGAAGTCGGGCGCACCGAGTTTTTCGGGGAGGTCAAGGGTTTTTGGGGGGGTCCGGGGGTTTGATATGACAGAGCTGAGGACACACAACGCCTCCTCTGTCCGCCCGTGGCCCCCGGTTTCCAGCCGCCAGCGCCCGGGCTGAAAGGCTGGAAACGGGGCGGAGGGGCCAGGAGAGCGGCCCCGTCTCATTGTCAGGGACAGTTAAACCCTGGACATGTTGCTCAAAACAGGTCACTTTGGGGTTATTTTTTGCGAGAGGAATGGACCTGAGAGAAACATGCTTGGGGGCAAAAGGGGTCTGGATGAGATGTGGAGCCTTCAGCGAAAGTTACTGGGGTTAAAATGCCTGATTTGATGCTGCGGAGGGAAAAAAACTCCATCACCCAAAGGCAGCATGCTGACAAAGCAGTTCTTTCAACACCAATGTCCCTCTGTAAAACTCTTTTAAGAGAATTCCAAATTAAAGACCAAATCATAGACCAATACCTCCTTCACGAAAACCAGAGATGTAACAGGGTCTGAAACTGGAGGCTGAGATTCTGCCACTGATTTGCTTTACGGTACCTCAGAGCAACTTAAAAAAAACAAACAAACACTGTCTCCATCACAGATGAAAGATTACTAGAAATGTTCATTACAAGGCGATGCATCAAGCAGAAAAAGACAGCTCTGTGAAAGGAAATGCAGAGAAAGAGGTAAACCGTACGAGAAGACACGAGATGGCAAGAACGCAAAAGACCCAAAAAAGGAAATAAAAAAAAAACATAAATGCAGAGCGAGGCTAATAATCGCCATCTGTGATTAGCCCTGATTTTATTTATTTGTCTCTGCGTGCTACTGATCTTCTACTGGGGGAAAAAAAGATTAAAAAAAGAAAAATATCCAACTTCAAAAATGTGTCAATGATACTGTGAAGTTACGTGAGGCAACTTTGAGGAAGAGAAGTTTCCGCTCTTTGGCTACCCCTACTGTTACACCAGTAACGTAAACACAAAGCCCTGTGTGTGAGCCCTGCACATGCACAGCCATACACCGTCAGCTGGAAACACCACGAGACAAAATATCTACACAAGCAGCACACACAGCAGCAGAGATGATTTATGTTTTTTTTTCTTTTTAAATTCGAAAGGAATAAAATATTAATTTTACAAATTATTTTCATGTTTTACAATATTATCCCTAAATGTTTTGTGTGTGGTGCTGTTTTAATCGACATTTTGTTTTCACGTTAAGGTTTTTGTACCACCATGGAGTTTAACTATATGTTGCCCTGAGTTTTTACAGCAGCCATCATTTTGTTTCTATGACATATATTGGACATTTATATTTCATGTAACACAAAGGAAAAAGGAAAAAAAAGAACAACGCTTCAACTTGATCTTGATTTTTAGAGTTTTTCAGGTTCTACTTTGCCTCCTGTTTCTAAGATGACCAAGCAAACTTAAGTCAAGTGTCTCTGTTTTTAAAAAAATATGCCGTTAAATTACTCAACTAAAAGGACTGGGCAGATTTTGACCAAATTCTCTGGTATAAAAAACATTTGCATTCCGTGGGGGACCATGGGACAGCTTCCACATGTGCTTATCTGTCAGTATTACGCTATTTTTGTTTCCGTATCGAAGAGGGATGGAGCAGATTTGTGCCGCTACTCTCTGCATTCGATTTGGTGACTAAAGTTTACCTCATAGCTGATGGAGTAACTGTCTAAAAAAATAAAAGACCCCCAAAAAGTTGCAATAAACTAGAATTATCCTCCAAGCTTTACATGCTGTCACACTGAGAGCGCATTGAACTTGAATTGACTCCATCTGCGGTGAAATAAATGAACTGGTGACACTCGCTCTGTGTCCGCTGTGAAGAGAACAGCGTGCTCCGATACAGCGTGCCCCCCCCCCCCCCCCCCCCCCCCCCCACCCCCAAACCCCCCCGCAGCACAGCACCACACAGAGAACAGTAGACGTCTCTGACAGAAAGGAGAAAATCCCTACACAATTTCCACATTGTTTGCTTTCTTTCATAAAGTTCCTGGAGAAGTCAGATGTCAGTGGCCCCGTCTTTTATCCCCATTGGGAACCGGTAAATTAGTGGCTGCAGGAAAAAAGCCACCGAGGTATTCTATTGTGGCGGCTTTGAGCCCGTCAGTGGAGCGATGGTCAGTGTGGATTTATGAACATCGGCTGCACGTCTCCCTCTCGGAGCCGGAAGAATAGGGGAAAGCTTCGGGGGAGCCCAGCCGGAGAGGCATGGCACACGAGGCGGGGACCCTGACTTCCATTGTTGGGGGCCTCATGTCTTTGAACGGGGAGTGAAACGGTACCAGCTTTTCATCAAAAAGCCCTCCTTTCTATTCTTGATGTAGAAGAGAAAAAAGGGGGAAAGCTTTTTTTGTGCATCATTTCTAACGGGGTGGGAGGAGGCCCTGAAAACAGGCTGACAGCAGCGCTTTCACAGGGTGTGGATGGGGGCAGACGCATCTGTAGGCCTCGGCGTGGACTGCCGGCTTTGATTTTTTCCGTCGAGCCTAATCTCTTTGTTTCTGGGTGGATGTCCAGCAACGCTCAGGACAATCAGACCCACCCCTCCCACCCCTCCCCACCCCCACCACCACTATCACCAACCCCAAAGAAAATGGGAGGAGGGTGTGAACGGTCCACATGTGGTCAGCACAGCTCATTTCTCACCTCTGACAGGGGAGATGGGAGGCAGGACGGGCCAGCGGCGCGAGTCCAGGCGGGAAGTCGGAGGAGAAGGGGTCAGCACCGGCCCCAAATCTGAGCGCTGACCGCTCCTCTGCGGGCTGGGGCAGGAAGACCAAGAGGTGGAGGGAAACGCGAGCGTAGCACCGCCTTGATCACGAAACAGGGAGAGTTTGAGGCTGGGATCTGCCGGAAGGTCTGGTTGGAGGTTCTCGGCTGTGTTTCTGCTCCTGCTGCTCACAGGTTTTTCTGATTTATGTCGGAGGCTGGTCATCGGGGGGTTTGGAGAGACGCAAAGCGGCTCATCTTGTGGAGGGCTGGGGGCGGTATTTGTCTCTAAGGACCTACGGTTTGATCCCACAGAGGAGGCATACAGCCGAGGTACCTGCATCACAGTGGAAAACTGAGCCGGGGAGCAATGATTGCCTCCCTCTCGTCCTGAATCCATCACATATTCTGCAAAAAGACAATAAAAGAAGAAGATGTCAATATGAGATTTGACTTGAAATCAAACCTCACATTTGTTGCCTCGCGTCACTACCTGCAACAACGTCCAACTTTAAGATTTGCAAAGTTCACTCAATCCCAACTCACTGTGTAAACAGTGGAAAACACAAATAAGAACACAGAAAACAAATAGCATGTTAAAAATGCGACCTTTTCACTGTTTTGAGAAAACAAAGTGTCACATTTTGGATTGAATAGAGGCAAACATGTCCAAAAGCTTGTTGGGAGGGGGCTGCAAAAGGCTGGAGAAGTACAGTATATCCTGGTAAAAAGAAACATTATGAGGAACAGTTATTTAGGTGAATTGGCCAGTAAGATGATTTGGAATTAAAAGAGCACCTTAGACAGGCAAAGTCTCTTTACAATAACAGAATCAAAACGTTGATGGAATTTTAGAACATTTTGAAGCGTCAATCATCTAGAATCCATGAATCCATGAACATCAACGGATTCAACTGAAATTTGGGGACAGATTACCAAACCATCCATCTATTAAGATTAAAGCTCCAATCTGTGAATGCTCACCAGCAACCCATTTCAATTGGACTGAGGCAAAATGGGAAAATATTTGTGGCCAGACTAATCAAATCAGAAATTCTCTTCAAAATCCGTGGACACTGTCTCCCTCAGACTTAAGATGAGGAGAACCCCACCAGCTGCTGTCGACTCTCACGTCAACAGAATGGATCTTTGAGTACCGATTCAGACACGACCTCCAGCATCTGGCTTCCTCAGCTCCCAGATGTTTACTGATTATTCTTAGAAATCCAAAAATGAGAGGATGCTGCACAGTGGTAAAATGCTCTAAAAAACGTTTCAGGACATGTTGCTGCCACCAAATTCAACATGAACACGTGATTTCTTTCTCTGTTCTATTGTGAGAAAAATGAGTAAAAATGTACTTAATTTGAAAGTGAGTTTCACAAATGTTTGGAATTGTGGGATCACTGGAGATAGAATACCGAGCAACACTCTCCATCCTGGCCTCCCTTTGAAATTTTATGCGATTTTTCAAAGTTGTTCTTGGTTCTAAATGTGAAGATTTTACCATTATCCCATTTTTGTGCAAATAAATTGAACAGTTTGGATTAACATCTAGCAGGAGCATGGCCAGAATCAGAGGCCCTGAGAGGTTTACCGGGAGTGGAATGGCTCAGAGCACTGCTCCTGCCACTGGAGAGGTCTGTGCTCCGGCTGAACAAACTGGAAGGTGGGCGGCTTAGATCGGAAAAGGACCCGTGTGAGAGGGAGGCCAGTGACGCCGGGCGGGTGGACCCGGCCGGTCTGAGGTCCGGCCCTGAGTCCGGCTCTGAGTCTGGTTCCAGCAGGACGGGCTGCGGCAGCTTTTCCCTCTCAAAGTCTTCGTCTTTCCGCTGTGGAGGAGAGGGGTGGAGAGGAGGGTGGTGGACGGGCGATGGAGGAGGGAGCGGCCTGCTTTCTGCTCTCCCAGAGTCGGGCAGAGGGGAGCGTTGCCGGGAGGGAGTTGAGCTGAAACTGGACGGTGGCGGGGTAGCAGGGAGAGCAGAAGAAGAAGAGCGCCGTCTGTCAATCAAGGCCTCACGGTGGGCGCCATTCAGCTTTCTGCCCGGGTTCAAATGCAGGTATCCTTCAATAAAGACAAAAAATAAAATAAAAAAACATTTTAATTCATTGCACAGATCCAATGGGATCCTAATCTAACCAAACTTCAAATGAGGGTTTGACCAAAAGAAGAAAAACTAAAAGCCATATGAATAGATCCGGAGACACTTTCTCCCTTTTTCTGCAAGCTCGCCACCTTCTTTCAAACCGAACAAAGTCTGCACGTGAGGTTTTGGGTTCCCACTTTCCAGAGGCGTGCGGCAGACACTCGTTTCCCTGCTGAGCGAGTCGGCCCGCCAACAAAAGGGGCGAGAAATTGCCCCCACTGCAGCAGCTGCCTGCTTTCCAGCTCAATATTCACAATGGTAATAAGACCTGAGGGCAGCGGAGCCCGCAGAACCCTCGAACACTCTGGAACTGTCAGTTACCGGCGTCCCTAACGCCACGGCAACAAGTGTTTAAGGAACCACACGAGGAGTGGACCAATGTGAGTCAAGTAGGAATTATTTGGGGTGATTGAAACGAGAATGTCTGGGCTTGTTCTCTGATATTCTGGCCATGTCTCTTCAACAACAATAAAAAAGTAACATATTTCTCAAAAGTTTTGACTCAAATAAACCGAAAACGATGAAAAAAAAAAGAGGACGAGGGACAACCGTTCAACTTCTCATCTCTTAAGCGTTTCTTCTCACATCTCATCAAATTAAACTTCCCTCCCTTCCATCGGCAGCCCATTTCCTCTCCTTCCTCCTTTTTCTGTTTTTTTTTTCCCGGACCACTGTGAGGGGTTGCAGGGGTGAAGGGTGTCGCACAATCTGCTCTTGTTTCCCGGGGGCCTGCCTCCCAGAGGAGTCAACACGCTGGAGAGCACATTTCTGCACTGCCTCCTTTTACAATACCCCACCGCCGTCGTTCCCATCTGTTTTGGACAAGCGCGCGCACGCACGCACGCACACACACACACACACACACACACACACACACACGCTGATGTGCATATGAATGACATGTGTCAGAGTGCAAAGCCGTGGCGTTGGCACAGCACGTTTCTCCTGGGAGGGAGGAGTTAGAGATGATTGTACGGGAGCCGGCCACCATATGGTAGAATAATTAGTATTAGACCCCTGTGCTGAGAAATGTTCCCCCACACCACCCCTCCTCGGCTGTACACACACACACACACACACACACACACACAGGGGACACAACTGAAAGCGGCGCCCCGCTGTGGAGCTGAGGTGTGTGCCCAGAAGAATGCCTCCACATCACAGGCCGGACTCTGAATGGAGCCGCAGGTCTCTCTGTGTCTCCTTTCTCCCCCCACAAGCGAGAGGACCACCGGGAGGAGAGCGGCGCTGTGGGCACTTCCTGGACAGAAAGGGCAGGCCGGACACACACTTAACCCGAACACAAAAACACAGGCGCAGATTAGGGGCTAATGACCAGCTCGGGGAGCTCTGCGTTAGCCGGTCAGAAGAGGAGGAACCGCTGTGAGATAAGAGAGACGGTGGAGTTTAAGGGAGGCTCCTGACCGGAACCTTCAGTGGTCAGACTCACCGTTAAGCGTGTGGGCGTCGGGGGCAGTGACAGAGTGTGTCATCTGGATTCTGTCCTCAGGTGGAAGCAACCGCCTGGACTCGGAGGTCAGGAAATGAGGAGGATGGAAGTCCTCAGGACGAGCTTTCATGTGGGAGAGGAAACGTGGGCACGGAGAGGGACGACGAATTGGACGATTGTGAACCTAAAGGTCGATGCAAGAGAATTGGGAGTAATTTTATTTTTTTTAATGCATGAAATAAAAATCATATTACAGCAACTTAGAAAAAAAAAGTTAAGGATGTGAAACCTTGTACTCACACATTGGCACAAAGAAACGTCACGCTAAAGCTTTCATTAAAAACAAGACTGAACATGAACAAATTACATATATCGCAAAAATTCCAGGAAAAGCTAACATTTCATTATATTTTTAAGGTTACTGGTTACTTTAAACAGAATAAATACCAAGGAGCACACATAAACTATCGATAAAACCAGAATTGTTCAACTCAGTTCATGGAATCAAATGTTCTGCTTTTAGTTAATATTGAAACATTTTAAAAAGAGAAAATAAAACTTGATCAGTTCTACAATATGAACGCCTCCAAAGTGTGAGGCTGCCGTGCTGCACGTGGTGCATTCAAAGACCTGCTCCCACCATTAGCGCCCCCTTGTGTTGACCAAACTAAACAGCATGCAAAGCTTTCTGAGAAAAGAAAAAGGCCACTGGACGTTTATCAGTCGAGTGATTTAAAAAACACATAAGAACAGAGGAGATAAAAGAAGGTCCACACTGAAAATGCAGATGGCTGTTTGAAGCACAAAAAAACCCAAATAAAAACCAGCCCGGCCCACAGCCACTGAGCAAGTGACTCACCGGTCCTCTTTCTGGCTTTCAGAGAGCAAACAGTCGTAATAAATGGCCCACAGGCACCGGGCTCGTATTTGAACTGGACTTAAGCTTCATCTAAAACAAAGTTCAGCCCCTCTCTCTCGCTTTTACCGCACGGTAACAAAAAAAAAAAAAAAACTAGAGCAGATTGTGTCTGAAGGCTTCAGACGGAACAGCGGTAGGAAGGTGGGGTGGCTGTCTCTGACTCACACAGGGAGGATCAGTTTTTAAATCCCCCGTGCCATCGCCGCTGATTCCCCTTTTCTCAGATGTGGAGGGCTTTAAAGATTTGCTTTGCTTGGGATGTAAAGAAGAAGTAAGTGCAAGGAGCAAGGAGCAGCAAAGGGTGAGCACTCCTTTTCCTCCCCTGCGGACTCCCCATTACCTGTCAGTCAAACAGAGACAGAGAGAGAGAGGGGGGGGGGGGGTGCTTTGTGAGGCTGGACCCGACTGTTGTCGAGAAGCCTGTGACCTCCAGAGAACAGGTCCAGGCACGAGGAGTGTTGACACAGTTAAGCACCTATGGAAAAAGTTGTTTCAATCTCCACAAACACAGTCACGACAACTTTTCAGCTGACGGCACAATCGCTTCTCTTATCATGAGCACTCAAAAGAGTCAAAAAGAGGAGCTTCAGACACTCCACTTGAAAGGATTCTCTATTACAAGCTCCTTTCTTTGAACGAATGTGATTATTTAGTCTCCTCAATTGGAAATACAGTACGATGAACGCGGTTATTATCTTTAGTGGGTCGACGGGCCAACAGTTGTAACGGTTGGACGGTTAAAGGAAAGGAAAACAAAAATGACTGTTTATTCAGTACGTGGGCACTGACAATGTATTCCACCAAAACAAGCTTTATTTAAACTGAAAATTGACCTGCTTTTTTCAAGGAAAATCTTTGTCTGTACAATTCAAACAAGCTTGACTGTCAATATTTGGTCTAAGCACCTTTTTGCCCTCAGCACAGACTGAAAATAGTTTGAGAGGCTTTCTGATAATTTTCCGAAGTAGTTTCTACAGGCTCCCTGAGGGACACCCTAAAGCTCCTTTTTTTTTGTGGATGCTGGTTGCCTTTTGTTCGGTTCTCTGACAGCATGATCCTGCGCTCAGTGCTGTTGAGGCTCAGTCTCTGGGGAGGATTCACCCTTAAAAAGACCTGTTGCCATTGATTTTTTTTTAGCCCAATTCTCCCTTGTTCCCCTTAATTTAGAGTGAGTGACTTTTTTGACATATTGCACACTACACTGAGACATGACCACTTTTCAGGTAGTTCAGTTTTAGTGAAAAAAAAAAGTATTTTCTTTGGCATTTTTATGGATGTGTCTTTACAACCGGCCGCTGTTAACACAGTGTTCAAAGATGCCTTTTAAAATCGGTCCTCTGTCTAAAGGGGCAATACACTGGTTGATTCCTTGAATTGGGCAGCTTTTCTACTCTCAAATGCTCCATACATCTGTGCTGAGTGACTTAAGGTAAAGAGCTTATTTCACAGAAGAACAGGAAGGAGTTGCCAGGGAAAAAAGTACCTTTTAAATTAAATGATTAGCCAAACAGTTTGACTAACTCTTTATAGAAGGACAACTGTATGCTACAAAGTCACTTTGTTTCAGGATTATGCCACAAAAACAGATATTAATGGTGGAATATGATATGGATTCTATTGGACAACAGATGAATGTGCTAAAAGAAAAAGCCTGGGTTTCATCATCAATACTAGTGGTTCATCGATGTATAGTGTCCCTTCCTATCTTATGTGTTTATGTTTATGTATTTAACAGATGCTTTTATCCAAAGTGACTTACATAGTAGAATAAATGTGCATCTCCCCATCCAGGAATCAAACTCCTGGTCTCCTGTGTGACAGGTGGGGACATTCACCACCACACTAACCCCTCACCCCTGAGCTTAACTAACGCTGACAAATAAAAGGAAAAAAATCCATGTATGTGTACCTCTGGTTTTACATGACTCTTTCAGTCTCATAAGAAAGGATCTAACAGGTGTACAGGTGGAGTTTGTTCCCAGTAGAATTTCATAGCCCACGTCCTATTTTTTCCGCTCTGTTTTCTGAGAGCCGGCGGCTCAAACCAAAACAAGCGTGTCGTTCCAATGCATGAATGACCGTTTACTGTGAGATGTCGTGGGGAGAGGCGTTTTCCGGCGGTGACAGCAGCCAGGGCCGTGCGGGGGGCTCTCCCTGAGGGTCCCCCGCAGGCCCCCCCAGGAAACAGGCTGACCTCCTGGCGTCAGGCAGCCCACACGCTGTCCTCGCACAGCCAGGACTGGCTAATGTCATTACGGGCCCTGTTTGTGGTCAACGGCTCCCTGATTGAGATGTACCACTTGTACAGCTCCATGAATGTAGGAAGTCTATTAGTTAGAGTCCCAGATGGCCTCCAGAGGACGGCCCTGTGTGTGCTCCTTCATCCCCCCCACCCCCCACCCCCTCACCTCCGCACACACACACACACACGCACACAGACAGACATACATAAACACACACGCATCCATATGCAAGCGATACAGACACACGTACACACACACACGCGCACAGTTAATTACGCTGAACCCTCTGACGAGCGGGCAGCGGGAGCAGAGACAGAAGTGTGTCTATGTCCCGGAGTTTGCAGGAACAGAGAATTCTTCACAGAGCTCAGGCAGGAGAAAGCCAGGCTCACGGCCTAACAAGGTTAAACCCCCTGAAAAAGAGCCACTTTTTAAATTGTGGAGATTTGTGTTTCTGTGGGGTGTAATTAGCTTTGCTGCGGGGGAGGAGATGGTGGTGGGGGTGGGGGGGGGGTGAGGCGAAGCGGGTGGGACGACGACAGTGGGGCGCATTGTGGAGTCCGGCGGATTCAGGGGAGTAAATCTGATTATCAGCTCGTGTCAGAAGCCAGGCTCAGATGCAGCTTAGCATTCAGAGTTACTTTCTACTTTCGATAGTTAGACAATGACCCCGCTTTTGCGGGCGCTGGCTGTCCCAGAGGGCCCGGCAGGCCCCCGACACCACTGAACGCAGCACCGAGTCGCCACAGCTTTCCGGACGGACAAACCGTCAGCACGGTCTCACACTATCGGCTTTTGGCAAATTTTGGTAAATGAAATCTTTGTTAAAAGTCGTCCAGTCTGTCTAAAGTCCTGAAACCCTCCCCACACACACACACTATCCGAAACCAATCACGACTGAGCTTTATTCTACAAAAAATCCAAAAGAAAATGCAAAGGTCTCTGCTTTTGTTATCAGTAAAATGTTTTTTTTCAAAGTTGAGATTTAAAGAGGAACTTTTACTTTGATCTTGTCAGTCCGAAGCAATAAAAGGGGCTTAAAGGGAACGCAGCAGGAACACATTTAAACTCCTCCATGTCGCGTCTTATCGTAGTAAAAGCGTGAGCAGGCCTCTGCGGAGCGGGCCATTGGTGAATATATCGAAATTCAGGGTCAAAAGGCAGAAAAAGGTTTGTGAGACTGTCATTTTTTCCCTTTTTTTACATGAAAAAACCCACAGATGAGATCCCAGTAACTGTTACTTGAGGACTTTGACCCCCCGTTCGTTTGCTCTGAGGTTGCTGGTATGTCAGGCCATCCTCCAGAGGCATTCTGCCCCATGCACAAACCCCCTCATAAATCGGGCTCTAAATCGGAGCTCTGCATCATTGTTTGGGCACCTGTGCATCCCCGACCTGCATCCCCGCATTGCGGCTCGTGTCCCAGGTGACCGCACGCCGGCTGGGTCAACAGCCTCTCCTGGACCGCCCCCCGTCTGTTTGGACAGCGACACCCCTCGCCGTAAAAAGTTGCGCGACTGTACGGTGTTTTTACCATGACAATGGCGCCGGTGATTTAGTGGAGGCCGACGCAGGCCTGATGAACTCGCTCAATGCACGAGTGGCAGAGGCAGTGGAGGATGTAAATGAGGCTGTAAGGACCCGCGAGGCCTCTTTGTCCGCCGGACTTTACTTGTTTGCTTAACCAGAGGCCAAGACAGGAAGCCAACCCACACAACTCTGGCGTCCCCATAGCAACCCCACTGTTAATTATGGCACATCCACTCCCAGGCTTCCCTCGGCAAAGGGGGGGGGAGAGGTGGGGACTGGTGAGTGCTGAAGGAGCCACAGAAAAATAGAGGTACGTGCACGCGTTCGGGCCTTTTGTGCTGCTGGCTGGAGGGAGGACCAGAATACGGAGATGGGCTTTAACTTTTAAAAAGCTTGAGTGAAACAAACAATCAAAATGGCTCTCTGGTTATCATGATTTTTCGTCATTAACTGTCCAGTTCTCACTCGCCTGATTTCTTCTTGAAATCGTCAACACTCAGATCATCAAACTATGATGTTTTGAATATGTCTTCTGATCAAAATCTCTGATCAAAATGGTCGTTTTTAAATACCAATAAAGCAGTCCAATAAAACTAAACTAGGTAACTGAAATCAAAACAACTCAGAGGTTAAACTTTTAGCTTTTACTGTAAAGGACTGAATTAATTAAGGTAATTAAAAACTTGGCTCAAAATAAGTAAGAGAATTTGTCTGTCCAGGTCGATGAATGCAGCAGCGAAATCACAGAAAACAAAAAGATGGAGAGAATTTTCACTCTTTCATTCTCATATCTGTTACATTACATGGGAAGAGCTGATCAATATTCTTTTCATTTTGAAAAAAAAAAAGTGTTTGCAAGGGATTGTGAGGGTACCAAGTTAGTATGTGGAAAGAAACACATTGGAAATGTTTAAACTTGAAGACAAAATATGAACTCACGGTGTAGTGGCAGACTCCTCTATCCCAGAGGATGGCCTTGGTGACAAAAGACACATAGACTGGTCTCTGCGAGGAAAAAGAAACCAGATATTAATGTGCTGCTTGCATACTGACGGACGCAACAGGTCCTTGATTTACAATTAGATCTGTGAGACCAATCAATAAATGGACTTAAACTGACTGGTGGTTAAAAACAAACGTAAAGCCAAACAATGAACACGCTCCCTGGAGACATTAACACCCCCGTCAGCATTTAAACAACCCCTCTGTCTTGATCATTTGGCGGCTGAGAAACACCTCCAGCTCCCACGCCAGGAGCTGAAGACTCCATGATGAAGTCCGCTCTCCCACACGGCCGCTTCTCAACATCTGTCACACGTCTGCGCCTCGTCTTTTTCTCGTTTTTTCTGTATTTTATTTTAAACACGCCGCTTCCTCGCAGGCTGGCGCGGTGGCCTGCACGGGTCAGGGGTGCGCCGGTGTGACCCGCGGAGCTGGACGCTGTGTGTTGGGAGCTCATCAATCAGGGCGGGGGGGACATCACAAGCCCATGCCAAGCAGCTCATCCATCTCTCTTTGCAGGCCCCCCTGGCAGCTCCCAGAAGCCCCGAGTCAGCTCGGGCCACATCCACGGCAGGGAGCAAGAGAGCAGATCCTCCCAGGATTCACTCCCCATTCAGGGAGCGTAACCCCGAAACACAGTGAGGTGACGGGGGGGGGGGCAAGGGGAGCTTGCAAAGTGGAAGACAATGGACCCCGATGCGTGGACATGTGTGTTTGACTATCCCTGGGAGTGTGCTGGTGCAGAACTCTCTGCTCCACTCTCAGACCCCCTTCAGTCCCACAATGAGATGCTAGAGGGCAGCGTTGGGTTTGGAAATCTCATTGCCTTTGTCTAGCAGCTTTAATTAGACCATACCTTTTGTATTTGACAAAGCACGTCATGTATGATGGTACAAATTATGCCCGAAAACACGCCACTCTTCGTCCCTAATAGAAGCCCGAATTGCAGCGGAATAATGAACGGACGGGGAACAACAACTAGTTTCCCAGTTAATCACGGGTACTTGTGGCCCAGTGACCTTGATGTCACTAATTATAGTAAATGCAAAATCAAGTGCATTTTCAGTAAAAGGAGAGCAAGAAGTGGTTGGGGGCTGGGTCTCCATCCGACCCTCACGCAGAGAGGTGAGCAGCGGTGAAAGTGGTGATAACCAAAGGACTGAGGGAAACATGCAATGCTCAGAAGAAAAAAAAACAAAATTCATCCATAAGATGAAAGTTTTTTTTTTTTTTTAAAAGCTAGAAAAACATATTGTGTCTGCACAATTGTAAGAGGACACACACCTCAAACTCTAGAAATGTCACAAGTGGCAGCTAATGATTATTTAAGGGCAATACCAATGATTAAAAGTCAATTTATAGAAGTTGCAAAAATAAAAAAAACAGTCTGTACAATATTTAGCGTAGGTGGCTGTAAAACCTGCGTCTATCTTACAATCCACCTTTCTAAACATACAGGCAGGAGGTTGCATTGGAATTAAAGCACCCATATTTGATCAGAGATGCAACTGTTGGGCTTAATACGTCCTCTCCACTCAAGTCTGACGGATGCAGTGTCCATGTTTTCCAAAATGGATTTTAAATTTTCAATCAATAAGAGCTGACAACAGGATTCTCTCTTTGCCTCAGTTCATTTCGCATGAACTGTGCCTCTATGCCCCCGGTCCTGATTTGAACCTGTGTCCCAAAGAAATGAATAGGCATGTTCAGACCCTATTCCCCAATCCTGTACCGACTATCTTTTAAATGTTTTGTGCTGTATTCCAATATTAAAATAAAATTCCTCTTTCATTGACATATGACAGTGCTCAAACTTCTTAAAAATTGGGACTGTAGCTTTGTCCTTTCTTTGCATTTTGGAAAGATGTAAAAAACTACAAAAAAGAAAGAAAAAGCCTGTGCTCTCAGCTCAAACAAAATTGCATTATTCAGTGACTTTGCTCTGCCTTTGATGCCACTATTTGACCCTTCATCGCGAATACAACACTTAATCCCGCGGAGGGTTTGTCTAAAGTGATTGCTGCTCCTCTTTTCCTTGTTCAATTCGCGTGATGAGATTAGGCAGATTCCTGGCAGATGGGATTTCCACTGTGCATGTGTGGACAGCGCGCATCCCTCCTCTCCGCTGGAGCCCCACCTCAAGGTGCTTCCTGTCAGATTCATTGAGTTGAGTGCAGCGTGGGCTGGCCGGACTGAAGGGGGACAGGAAGTGCCGTGCCGTCGGTCAGCGCCAGCAGGGGGAAATCCGGTCAAATATGGTCAGTCTTATCAATAATGAGTTGGTGGACGGGGAGCAGATCGAATTACCAATTTAGAAACTAATCACCAAAGTGGTGGCTGGTCTTTTGCTCCAGCAGCTCTGCTTTGTCCTCCGCGGTGATTCCTGCCGCCATCTGTCCTCCTTTCTCAGGGGAGCCGTTTCCCTTCTCCCCTGAGCACCGCACTGGATGTTTTTATTAAGTCTCTTTCACCTGATTACACCCTGTCTTTGAGTCAGCACACATTAATAGGCATTTGATGAACATTTAATTAAGGCGGCAGACGTGGAAAAGAGAGCTGGAATACAGAGCTGCGTCCCGGTGGGGTGAGCTACAAGGTTAGCACAGAGTATAACACAACTCCAGGTAATGCGCTGGACCAAACGAGTCGCTTCTTGGGTGTATTTGCAGGTACTATCGTGTGTAGGACTATAAGATATCAGAAATTACAGTTTTGTTTCTAAAGATCAATCGATCAACCAACCATAAGTCATAAAGTATGACAGATTTAGTTCCAGCTGGTCCCAATTTATTGTGAGTTTGGTAACGTAGTGCCAAGGAATCTTTTGGATAAATGGACAAATGTGTCCTCGTTAGTATAGTGGTCAGTATCCCTGCCTGTCACGCAGGAGACCGGGGTTCAATTCCCCGACGGGGAGATGCACGTTACTGTGAAAGCTATTTTGGATAAATGCATGCACATAAACGGTCTTGACTTGCATTCTCGGAGTTTGGAATGAAAAATCCATTTGGATGTTCCATAGGATGAAAACAAACACAAAACCAAACCAGAACCAGCGTCCCTCATCCAATGATGTTTCTGTCGTGCTCATAGATTTCCATGCTTGACGTTGAGTCATTCTGTCTAAAATATGTTATTTTAAATTCATTTCAGCAACAGTGATGACAATTGAGAGAGAAATATGTCATATTGAGGTTTAGAGATATGCGTCACATCAAAATATAATGTAATGTGAATTCCATTGTCCTCAACAGGCCCTAAAGATATACCAGATATACTCTTCCCATCCGACAGCCCACAGTCTGAATATTTATAACAACACTACAGCTCACCAGCAAAAAAATGTCTATGGATCAATTTCTATTCAGAACAGCAATCTAGAAGATTTAGATCAATAAGTCATGAGGCTGTGCAAAGCGATTATTTTCTGCGGGGGACAAGCACAAGAGGCCCATAATTGAGCAAATCTAAGAGGAAAATCGAACTACAGCTGATCCAAGAATCGCTGTTCAGAAGCATTTTGGATTTTACACCATGAACAGTAAACGGGAAATGGGAAAAAGACGGAGTCCTTCGCTAACTCTGCAAGAAAGAGGAAGAAATACCATGGGAATAAGTGTTTACTTTATTATTTTCTGTTTCTAGAAAAGCTGACAGCTTTCGTTCTATTCTCTTTCAATTCAAGAAATGCCTCTAATTGATCACAATGTGACAGAGGCTGGAGACCACAGTCTGTTTTCTTTCCTCGCCTTTGTGTTTCCGTGTTCAGACAGACTTCCTGAGTTTCAGAACGGCCGACCGATGACCGCAAAGGTGGCGCTACATGAAGTCATGACACAAGAAAGCGGTCATCGATTAGCCTCTAAAGCGGCTAACTCTGAGACAAAAGGGGAAAAAAAAAAGCTTTTCTATCGCGTGGACTAAAACTTTAAAAGCACGCTGCGGGGACAAAGCCGCGCCGCACGGGGGGGACGAGGAGATCCAGTTTAAAACACAATCGAGTTACCAGCTGAATTATCCATACAAACAAAAGGCCAGAGGGACCACCACAGCATGGCTTTGGGCCAGGCCGCAACCAGAAAACAGAGTCAAAGAGGACAAGACTTCGGAAGAAAAAAGCCCGGGGTCAGCTATAATGAGCCCTGAATGTGAGCGTCCGACCAATCCCGTTTGATGGGGCTCATCCCAGGAAAGGTTTTCTGTCTTGCTCCGGTGTTTCTGTGTGTGTTCCTGTTGGGGTTCGGGTCAGGGGGCTGCAAGGACTCTGTGACCCTGAAATGAGCTCTGGGAGTCAGGAGGGACTCCCGCTGGCAAGACAGAGCTCCTTTTATGCTTTAATCTGCGGGCAAGGGCGGATCAATATGGCAACTATTTGGTGCCGGGATTGTGTCCAGCCATTTTAGGCATCTCACAGAGGGGGCTGGCGCACCCCTGACAAAAGCACAGCTCGGGCCGCCACCGCCGGCCACAATGACCCGCAGGACACTGGCACACCGGCGGCTAAACCTACTTAACATTCATTAGTGTCAGAGAGGTGGACAGATGCTCGGGCTCTTGCGGATCCTCTCTCTCATGTTCTCAACATGAGAGGCTTCTCGCCCGTATTTCATTTTGCTCCGCCGCGGACTTCGGAGGAGCTGGGTGGGCACGGACGGACTCACCCTGTGAAGCCTGTGGTGCGCCCAGAGAGAGCCGTCAGGCGGCCAGGTGCCGGCCTGAGCCGGGGACCTCCGCTGAGGCTCCAAATCCTGATTTCTGGAGGGTCTGCTCTCCCAGCGAGGCTCCGCGGCTGCCCTTTTCCCGACAAAAGACCCGTCCGAGGAGCGTTTTTCCTTCCATTTACTCATGTTCTCTTTCAGCTGTGAACCGCCGACCACTAAAAGCCCCAGAGAGCAGTTCTAGAAGAGGTTTTTTTTTACATAATACAGCCCTGGAATTTGCAGCCGTATAGCTGTGGAGGGTGCTAAGCGATCCCTCTTTGCAGGAGGGGGAAAAAAAAATCAGCCTTCTTAAGTAGGTTATGTCTGTTAATAATTACCATCGAGCTAAACTGGTGCAGGTCTCTCTAATATACTTTCTTGGGCTAAAAACAAGAGCACGAAAAAACCTAAAGCAGAGTTCGGAGCGTGAGACAAATGTTCCGGCGCGTAATGAACGTGAGCCCTGGTTTCCCCAAATGTACAGAAATACAAGGCCTTCAATAAAGCAAAGCCTTCAATTGAGAAGTAAGCAGCACCGTGGACACACACACACACACACACACACACGCACAGTGACAAAGGCCAGAGCAGAAATCAGGACCAGCTGGACAGAAAGACGGCTTTTCAGGCCGATACCAGACACAACATGGATCAGGTTCTGGGCCGCCATACAGCACCATAAATCTCCCGCCCATAATTACATTAGAGGGCATATAGTGGCAAGCTCTGGGGGAGACAATGGACCCTATCAATTCCACAAATCGGAGTTGACCAGGGTTGCGTGCGTGCGTGTGTGTGTGTCCGCGGTCTGAACAGGCCTCTATCTGCATCTCCAATCAAAGCTCATTATCTAGAGTGTGTCTCGGGCTGGAGGCTCTCCTTTTGGCTTTGTGGTCGCGAGCAAATCCGAGCAAATATGTTCTCGGTGCAATATTAACAAGGAGACGCGGACGAGCGAAGGAGCGGGGAGTGTTTTCCATGGTGACGGGCCAAACACAGACCCCCCCCCCGCGAGCCTGTCCCCATTTCCGCTGAAAAGAATATCTCATAAAATCATACTTTTTGATCTGGCGACCTTTGTTCCCTCGGTAAAATCTGAGAGATTTAAAAAAAAAGAAATAAGATGAACTGACAAAGCAGGTGTCAGTCACGACAGGAGATGAGTAAGGAGCAGCCCTCTGAGCACAACTTGTGACATGCACCAAAGCCTCTTTGGCAAGCGGAGATCAAGACCTCTCTTTTACATCTCTCTCTATAAAGCTGACTCTGCCTGAGATCTCTCTCTGTTCGGCTCCGCGGGGGGCTCTGCAAAGCAGTTTTGGATAATCCAGATGCCAAAATACCAGTTGCTAAGACACTGACTGAAAATTCAGTGTTTAACGGGATGTTTGAGTTTTCTGTGTTTGTGTGATGCAGACTGGGAAGAAAAAGGGCACTAAAGTATTGGTATCAGTGGTGTAGCTTTTATATCTTTAATTAGTTTGAACTTTTACAGAAAATACTGTTATTCCCCAGTCACTCGCATTTTTGGTTTTTATTTTTCTGCCGGATGCCATCACAACCTACAGAACGGTGGTTTGAGGACAAAAAAAAATGACCGACAACGACGACAAAAATGAAAGAGTTCAGCGAAGGTTGATCCCTTTCACAAAACATTCTGTGGAAATTCAAAAGCCAAATCTTCCAACTTGCTAACACTTTCTTCATTTCTTCTTCATTTCTATTCTGAAACAGCCGCTTCGCTAAAAATGAGCTGCCTCCATAATAATAATAGTACGCATAACAGGACATGTGGGTACAGGTTAAAAGAAATCTCACCTTAGATACTCCGTTGTACTGATTATTCTTACTTTATTTATGGATTATGATACATACACACAGCGACAACATCTATGATCCTTCATCAAAACCTTTGATTTCCCCCACATATTGTTAAAGCTACATACAAATGCTAAAAGCAAATATGCATCCTTGACATTTCACTGAATGAATGAAGTCCTCCAAAGGGTCCTTGACATTTGAACTGTGCTTCAGTGAGATTTGATGATGAGCTATCAGAGAAAAACAGACATTATGTGTCCATCCACGACTCTGACAAGAGCTAACCAAAGGTAGAAGAGGACTTGGAATGGAACTCTTTGGTCAGTTCATATTCAGAACATCGAATATTTACAATCCCATGTTCATACACAAACTCAGGAATAAGTACATCAGGACCAAAAAAAAGTCAGACAAAGCCCTTTTTGGCAAAACACATAAAAAGGCCATTACAAGAGCTTTCGTACGCTTCTAAGCAAAGCAGCCCGGCTCGCTGCACGCGGCCTTTTGTTGGATGCTGGACCCCGAATCAAAGAGTGGTGACCTGCACCAGTTGTGAGCAGCAGGCCTGGCGGGGTGTCTGAAAAACCCCCGGTCTCCGGGCCATGCTGGGAGCCCTTCGCCACTCTCCCTCCTCCAGCTCCCCTGGCAGGCCCGGTTATTTCCTCCTCTCATCAATCTGTCAGCAAAGCCCTTTGACACGCTGCACAATATGGTCCCAGCATTTTCTCAGCCCCCTTTCAATATGGCATAAGCGTTTCAATATTAGTCAGCGCGGCCACGAGGCGGCCCCCCCCGGTGCTCTGGGACCCGTGGCGATGGGGGAGTGGGTGGTTGGAAGTTTTAAGGCCCTCATACTTCTCTAAAAGACCCTTCTTAATGGTTTGAAAATGCACGCATATTTATCACAAATTTTCCAGTCTTCTAAGAATTATTGTGCATTGAATCCTTGCAAAGGATTCCACCGACGCCAAAGTGTTGCCCGACATTTTAAACAAAATCACTGGCCACCGAATAAAGATCCAAACTGTTTTCGATCCAACTATCATGAAACTAACTAAAACTTTGTATTTTCATGATAGTTGAACCAGGCAACTAACCCCCGAAGCAGGTCGCCTGATCTGAGTCCAAGAAATTGTTTTAGGGTTATTTTAAATACGCATTTAGCGGAATTTCAAGACAACATCAAATGTCTACCATATTTCCACCAGGGTGCCAAATTTTGAAAAGTACATTTTCAACACTACAGATGTATATTTACTTTGTTCACATCACTAAAAAGATGGTTTTACCTGAATACAATCAATTATTCTACTTATTAGGTTTCTGAGTACTGTCCAAAGGTTTCTGGTGATGAAATAGAACTGTCTCCCACCCTAAGTCTCAACATCTGTATGATCAACTTAGTCACTGGTTTAAAAGTAAGATATACTTGTTTTGCTTGTTCTTTTATTTTTTTTACCTCATCTTATTTTCCATTTGAGCTCACACCTGCTCTCTCTACATACAGTAGAAAATATATTCTGGAAAAAGGACATTTTCGTCGCTGTAAACACAGGTGACTAGTTTTATGAGAACCAACTGTATGGACTGGACTCGCTCAAGTGTACACCATTCAGTTCATTTTCAAGTAGGGATGAAAGGAAGACTCCAAACTATGCATGTCGCCCATTCACTGGTGACGCTCTTTAAGAGAAAAGACGGCAAAAAGAGTTGGAAAAAGGGTGGCGGGGTGGAGCGCTGCATAAATTTTACATACACAAGGCTGCGGACAAAGTGATTGTTGCGTCCCCCCAAACTTTTTTCTTTTTTTTTTCCTCCTCCAGAAAACACTTTCCTTGCTGAATGGGCACCTATTAGTGACTCCATTATGAGCGCAGGGCTCTTGAATGGCTCCTCACTGTGCGTCTTTATCATAGTCAGCCCGTGAATGCAGCCGGGGCCCCTCCTCCCGCGGCCCAGCCAAGCTCCTTACGCTCTGTATTGATAGGTGCTGGTGCTGATGGTTGGAGCTGGGGGGTGGTGGTGGGGGGGGGGGGGGGGGGGGGGAGAGGTGGGCTTCCACTTTCAACCCCTGTTGTGTGCTCCAGGTGTGGTGGGTTAAAGCGCAGCGCTCCGCGGCGTCCATTGTGACGCACACTTTTCTCCCAAAAAAAAAAAAAAGGAAAAAATGGATGCAGGGTTTTACATGCATTAGCTGATCTCCATAATACCATTCCCCCCCAGCCCGCCTTTACTGAAAAAAACCCACAAAAAAAACAAGTCAGGCCTCCGGCGAATCGCTGCACACTGCCTCAGAGCTGGGCATTGTTGCTGGATTATTCAGGAGTTAGCCGAAAGAAAAGAGGCAGGGAGAGTGGGGTGTCTGTACTTCATCTCCAGGGGAGACAGGGACTAAAGAAGGAGCTTCTTTAAGGGACTGAGTTACTGCAGGAGGAAAAAAAGGAGAAAAAAAAAAAGAAGCTTCAAAACACCTGCAGAACACAAGCGAAGCAAGGATTGTTTATCCGTGCTCCGACCTACTGTAAACCGGCCTCCGCCCAACGGCGGGGGCTTCCATATATCAGGCTCTGCCCAAATAACCTGTCCCAGCCACCCCCCCCCACACCCCCCAACCCCCACCACCACCACTGCAGGCTGTATTGACAGAAGCATCGGGGAAAAAGAGCGGAGCAAACAAATATTTGTGTGTTTTTTTATGGTTTTTCTTTTTTTCGTTGCCATTCAACTTTGAAGTTATGTGTGTACACAGAGTTGAAAGAAGGAGACACCAAGAGTTGGGGAGACTTTATGATGAATATGGGAGTATTGTTCGGCCATGCTTACCTCCACAGGGAACCATCTGCTCCCTGTCAATGCATCACCTGCTCGTCTGAGCCGTCTCCAGGGCAACAAGGGGGGTGGGGGGGATTAGAAGAGGTTTTCGGCTTTGATGGGAGGGGCCGGCACTGGGGACGGAGAGGAGGGGAAAGGAGAGGAGGATTCCAGGGCGGCATTCCGGGTGGACGACGTCCTCTGCTGGAAGTAGCTGCGGCTGCCCCCCCGACACACACACAAACCACCCTCTGCAAGGAGAAGGAAGAAAGACACAACTTTGTTAAATAGCAACAAAACTTTTTTATAACCTATTCATAGCAACAAAAAACAAAAAACTTTTTTTTCCTTTTCTGTCCAGTTCATGAGATCTCAGGACAGACAACTACATTTCCTTTAAAATAACAAACTACAATCAGCCTGTTGCTTCCTGCTTTGTCTAAGCTATTCAAACTGATCTACTTGAGCAGTTCCTTTGCTCACCTGCACCTCAGCTGAACAGCAGACAGAGACAGAGACAAACTCTCGACAGTTGCGACAAAAAATCGCATCAGGAAACATCACACTGTAACACACCAGTTTAAAAAAAAGAAAAGAAATGAGAATCTCAGACAGATCCTGTGAGTAAGAACACTTGGGCTCAGTAATAATCACGGGTGAGTTAAGGAGTCACACTCACAAAGTGATCCTTTTGATGCACACTGATGTTAGAAATGACTTAATTCACTGGTGCTATTATTCACTTCCTAAAAGCAAGCCTGTTTAACTTGACTAAGGTCAGTAGTAAGCGGTTAGTTTACATTTGACTTTGCACACTGGACATTAAAAAACATGGTATTATTCATTATAATAAAGTTCTATTCTCAGACATCATAAAAAACAATTTAAAAAATAGGAAAATAAGAAAAAAGTGGCTATGAGGAAAGTACTTAGCTCGATACAAGTGGGCTTGTTACCCACTAAGATGTCTGACTTGGGTGTGAGAGGAGTTGGATGATCCTGTCAAATACAGAATATTTGGGAACTAGTCATAAATTTGTCAAAAAAATCAATAAGTGGAGGACTTGTGGACAGGTATAGGACCACAGGGGGCATAATCAGCCTGTAATGCACAGTGTTTCCTGTGTGTGTGTGTGTGTGTGTGTGTGTGAGGACTACCGCTGCTCTCCACCTCTGAAGCAGCAGAACTACAAATCAGAAAACGCCATCGCACGGAGCCAGGAAAGGGTTTGTGGTCCCACCGTGATGGGCAGCTGCAGAGCAGGCTCCTCCTGCAGGTATTGTGGGGCTTTCATTAGGTCCCGCCGCCCCTCCGCCCACAGAGCGGGCCGCCGGCGACGGCTGTGTAAACACCGACCTGAGGACAGCTCCAAAGGTAAACACGTGGGAGGTGAAAGGCAGCAGAGCAACACAACAGCCAGGGGCCGCCATGATTCACCGAGCCTGGACTTTGAAGTGGTTTCTCAATGTCTAAAGAGGTGAACTAAACTCCAAGCCTCGGTACCTGGAGAGGGTTTTCCTGATAGATTGAGCAAGTTGTTTTATGTTGAAATATTACATAAATATAGTACACAAATTATCATTATGAAATAATTATATTGCATAACTATATTACATAAATAGATATGTAGTTTTATATATATATGTATACAGTATGTAGATATTATATACATATACTGTATATATATACAGAGACAGATGGATAGATAGATGGATAGATAGATAGATAGATAGATAGATAGATAGATAGATAGATAGAT